AAACATACAAACAAACATACAAACAAACATACAAATATACATACAAACATACATACATGCAAATAAACAAACAAACGTACAAACAAACAAGAAAACATACATACAAACATATATACAAACAAACATACAAACAAACAAACAAACAAACAAACACACATACACAAATTTGTTATTATCTTGTCATTGGAAACAGTTCCATTTTAATTCGCTCCTCTGCAGATAACATCCTTCCGTAATTTCGCCGTAACCTTTTTTGGAGACACTTATGCACACACACACGCACACACACACACCACACACACACACACACACACACACAAACACACGCACACACACACACGCACAGGCATACACACAAATACAAATACAGATAGACATACCTTTGAACACATCTTAAGACTTGCCCTTAACAAGTATGAGTTATTGTTAGGAATCACTCCAGTAAACTGGAGGAATGAATTAATTTACCGATGAGGCTGTTGGTAATGTATTTTTTGAAGGTAGAAGAAAGGAAGGAATTAATAAAAGAAAGAAAAACAGTAAAAGAGAGAGAGAGAGAGAGAGAGAGAGAGGAGATGAGGGTGAGAGGTAGAAGAATGAGAAATACGCACGGATAGATGGGCGTATAAAAAAACTTGCTTATACTCGTTTTTGCTTACAAACGGTATTCATTCATTCATTTATTCGTTCGTTCGTACGTTCGTTCATTTGTTCTTCGTTCCTTCGTTCATTCATCCAATCTCTCTTTCATTCATACGCATCTTACTTCTTCAGAAATGTACATTAGTCGATACCTGGGTTTATTTGGAATCTCCTTTCAAGGAGATATTTAATGAAACAAAAGCAGCTTTCTCGAAACTGTCGCAAAGAGAAAACGGTGTGGCATTAGTAGTAGTGGTAGAAGCAGTAGCAGTAGTAGCAGCAAAAGTAGTAGTAGTAGTCGCAGTAGTAGTAGAAAAACGATTTGAGATTTCAAAAATATTGAATTTGGAAGATCTCATAGAAGTTACGTGTGTGTGATTATCAGCTCAGGTTGATTTTGTTGGAAGATTATTTTAGATCGCATGAGATACGGTGGAAAATATTTTTGGTTGAAGTATGATCGTCTGCTGAAATTTGATTGGTTGCTTCTTTTCATACAATTCTACCCAAGTTACGTGTTTGTATAGGTTGATTGTTTTGTTTCTTCATTTTTGCTATACAATCAATCAATCAATCAGTTAACCTGATTATCAATCAACCAACCAACTTGATAATCAACCAATCAACCAGCCAGCTGTCAACCATCATTCAAATAAATTGAAGGTTGTCGGTCTGCAGAAATTTGGTTCAGTTGGTAGTAGTTGTAGTAGCAGCAACAGCAGCAGCAGTTGTAGTAGTAGTAGTTGTTGTAGTAGTAGCAGTAGTAGTAGTGGTGTCAATATTTTTTGTCTATCTTTTGAGCAAAGAAAACAACATCAGTAGTAGGTTGTGAAAAGTTGATTCGATACGAAATATTTGCATCGTCATTATTCACTTCCTCTTCTCCTCCTTCTCCTTCTTCTTATTATTCTTCTTATTGTTATCATTTATTACAATTTATATTTTATTTGCGGATAAACTCATTCATACTAGGAGATATAATAAGCATTGAAATTATTAATAAAAATTCATCAAAGAATGTGATTCCGTATAAATTTTTCAGAGGTGCCTACCAGAAGGATCACGAACAAACGTAACGAACGTACAAACCTAGTTAGCATGCAAACATGGCGAACGTGCAAACATGGCGAACGTACAGGCCTGATGCAAACAGAAAGTTGCGTGCACGAATATAATTGCCTTGAAAAACATTCAACAAACCACCCTTTCTCACGTTAATAACGAAAAATAATACAAAGAAAAATGTAAAACAATTTAAAAGTAGAAAAAAATGAACACACAAACAAACAAAGACAGACACACAAATCACACTAATCCGACATCTTTGTCTTCAGTTAGAACAATGTTTATATCTTGTTCATTCTCAAGTAACATTTGTTTTGTACGCATGTACACACACACACACACACACACACACACACACACACACACACACACACACACACACACACAAAGCAAGTTAACAAAACTGAAAATAGATGTTTTTAACCAAACTTAAAATCAATATTCATTCCCTCTCACGATGGAACAAAAACTTTAAATGGCATTTTTTTTATTTTCCATGAAATTATTTTTTATCGAGTTAAATTCTAATATATTTTTTTATTTAGGTTTTAATTTGTTTTCATTTGATTTTCAAATTAAAATCTTTGCCGGCCTCATCACTCAATGGTTCATTTGTTGATTAGGACGATCGATCTAATGTCTTTATCTTTTCATGCCACTGCCACAACATCAACTAATTAATTAAATAATTAATTGATCAATTAATTAAACAAGAAATTTATTCGTTTGCTGGTTCTTTCGATCATTCATTCAATCGTTCATTGGTTCATTCGTTTTTGTTCGTTCCTTCGTTTATATTCTTGTTTTATTCATTTATTGGTTCATTTCTTTATCCATTAAATCATTTTTTAATCTCTATCCATCCATCCATCCATCCATCCATCCATCCATCCATCCATCCATCCATCCATCCATCAGTCCACTATAAATTAATTTTAATTGAATGCTTAGACGGAAGTACAGTGTTACCCTGGCTACCGTCATCATCATCATCACCATCATCATCATCATCGTCGTCGTCATCATCATCTTCATCTTCATCATTACCATCATTATCATTATCATCACCACCATCAGCATCATCATCATCACCAGCATATTTTTTCAACTTTTTTTATTTTTAAAACAAAGAATGAAATATTTAGGATGGCAAATGAAATGATGAAGACGACGATGATGAGGCTGATGATGTCGACAAACGATAAATGTGCTGCCGCTGAAATCAATAGTGGTGACGTAAGTGTGACGTAACGAATGACGTAACGAGATTATTTTTAATCAATTGATGCCAACTGCAAAACAACCAGAGCAATAATATACATAGCTTTTGTTATAACACATATATACAAACATACACACATACATACATATTTATACAAACACATACATACAAACATACACACACACACACACATACATAAATACATTTGGAAATTTACTTACTGTAAAAGATTCATGTATGAATAAATGAATGGGTGAATGAATGAAAGGTTGTAAAATTAAAATTTTGCATAAAACATGGCATATAAAAGATATGAACAGCTAAATAAACACAAACAAACATATCCAGACATAAAAACAATGAACGAATATAAACTTAAATTAAGAATGAATATCAACATGGGTATTAAAAAATAGCGACCAACAAAAAGCACATAAAGTCTCACAAACAATAAAAGAAAAGTTACGTGGGTTAATCCAAATGAACACATGGATGACGTGTATTATATAACAATGATGTATACATGCATGCATGCATGTATACATACATGCATGCATGCATGTATGTATATTTCTTTCTTTGTTTGTATGGATGTGTATGTGTGTGTGTGTGTGTGTGTGTGTGTGTGTGTGTGTGTGTGTTTATTTATTGTATAAGTCCGCGTTCATCTTTTAAGCGTACGTTGATGACAATTTATTTGATGGTGTCCATTTTTACGTGGCCATGTATCTCTTTACTATAAATTCCTATCCGAGGTACATGCTCCAGATTGTTGCTTGTCTGTCTGTCTGTTCGTCTGTCTGTCTGTTCGTCTGTCTGTCTGTCTGTTCGTCTGTCTGTCTGTTCGTCTGTCTGTCTGTTTGTAAGCAGTTTGAATGTTTGATTGATTGTGTGTATTGTTATTATTATTATTATTATTTGAGTATTCATCTAGCGCCATTTGTAAAACCAAGGTTTTCCCCAAGTGGCACTTCATAATGGTCACCGAGTTAGCTCAGTCGGTAGGAGATCCATGTCTCATGCTGCTCTAACGCGATGGCATGGTTCGAATACTGCCTGTTCGAAACTCAAAGACCATCATACGTGTGTGATGCGGTGCTTGCGCGTGCGTCCTGTAGTGTGGCATAGCGTGGTGTGGTGTGGTGTGGCGTGGTGTGGACAGTTCAGCCTTGTGGCGCGGAGGTTTATTTGCAAGCGTGGAATGACATGTAAGCAGTTCTGTTTGTCTAAGGTTTCTAAATTTAATTCACTCCAAATAAATAAAATTCCCTTATAATCCATGTACTTTGCATGCAGTTTTGTTATTACGCTAAAAATCCAATTTATGTTGAAGACATGATTTTGAGCGAAGTATGGGCATATTTTCAAGTCACCTTGCAGTCAAAGTTTCTTCTCGCAGGATAGACTTGAGGAGCTCTTTCAGAAACCATCCATGCTGATTATATTATCGATCCACAATATTTTAGACCTGCACAGAATTTATTTCAACCTATTTAAACATCTGCCTGACTGTTGTTCGTTTGTTTGTAGCATTTTTATACAAATGTTTGTTTGTAGCAATTTTATACAAATGTTTGTTTGTTTGTAGCATTTTTATACAAATGTTTGTTTGTTTGTGGGTATGTATTTATAGATTCACGGTTTGATGACATCACAAAACAATCGCAGGCATCCATTTCAGCTGGGGTGCGTGCAAGTTTCCTTCAAGATGGCGGGGAAGATGGCGGGAGGATGACGTCATCGTGGTCGTCATCAGTGCCCTCGAGATCAGTAACAGGGGGCTTTGTTATGAGGTCTATAAGGATTCCTATCTTATTGAAAACCGGTTTGTGTGTTTGTTTGTTTTTGAATGTGTGTTTATTTGTTTGTTTGCATGTGTGTGTTTGTATCTCTTTGCCTTATGTATCTGTTTATATATTCATACATTTTCAACCGCTTCACATGTGTGGGATTTGTTGCATTCATTTTCCGAGATGTGTTTCAACTTATTGTATTTACTTTAAATTGTATTTGTGTGTGTTTGTATGTAAGTATGTATGTATGTATGTATGTATGTATGTATGTATGTATGTATGTATGTATGTATGTATGTATGTATGTATGTACGTACGTGAGGATAAAAAATTGAGGGCACAATAAATAGGAAGAGGAAGAAGAGAAGATGGGACGTGTGTATGTAGCCAGCCAACATACATTCTTCTAATATTTATGTTTATTGCGTTTTTGGCTCTCACACACTTCGGGGCTGCTCTGTATTCCTTTGTAGGTCTGGGTGCTGTGTCTTCGGCTGGCTGTTTTTTTTATCACAAGTCTGTTTTTTGTGTTTTCTGGTTGTTATTGACTTTTTGTCGAATCGTTTTTCATTCGTTCATTTGTTCATTCATTCGTTCATTCGTTTGTTTGTTCGTTCGTTCATTCATTCATTCATCCATCCATACATCCATTCAATCATTCATTCGTTCATTCATTCATACGTTCATTCGTTTGTTCGTTCATTCGTTTATTCGTTCGTTCGTTCGTTCGTTCGTTCGTTCATTCATCCATCCATCCATTCAATCATTCATTCGTTCATTCATTCACTTTCATTCACTTTTGTCACTTTCATTCACTTTTTATACCATGTAACTTTTTTAATAATCAGAATGAACTCATTTAATCAGCATCTTTATCATCATTATTGTCGTCGTCATCATAAACAACTATATTATTATTATTATTAAAAATTACATTAGCACTTTTTTGGAACCTTCCAACGTATTGAATTTTTTATTATGGGAAAATAATTTTCCTCAAAATTCTTATTTGAATTTGTCATTCGAATAACTTTTTGTAATTTTCTCTCTCCCTCTCTCTCTCTCTTTCTCCCTCTCTCTACCTTTCTCTCCCTTTCTCTCTCTCTCTCTTTCTTTCTTTCTCTCTCTTTTTCTCCCTCTCTTCCTTAGTTTTCTCTTCTTATTTCTTACTCTTTAAATCTTTCTTATTCTTCCTCCGCTTGCACATGATGCCAATAACGTTTGTGCATGTATTGTAGGTTTGCTTATATGTCTGTCTGTCTGCCTCTGATGAGTCTGTGTGCCTACGCGTGTGTAATATCGAAAAATGTGTTGTGTGTGTGTGTGCGTGTCTGTGTGTGCGTGTGACAAGTGGTTCTTTGAGGCTTATTATTGAAAAAACTTAACAGGACAATCAATCATCCAAGTTACGTCATTTGCGATGCCTGGTGATGATAATGATGACGATGGTGATGATGGTGGTCATGATGATGACGATGGTGGTCATGATGATGATGGTTATGATTATGATTATCTTCTTCTTCTTCATCATCTTCTTCCTCTTCCTCACCATCATCTCGAGACCACGCACGCCAGCAAATTTGCATCTATGTACATTTGCCGCAATACAATTACCTTAGTTTCGGCTTATTTTTTCTGCTGCACTATGCGAATGTATGTTTGCATATGTTTGTATGTGAGTGTGTTTTTATGTGTGTATGTATGTGTTTATGTGTGTATGCATGTATATTTGTATATATGTATGTGTGTGTATGTATGTATGTGTGAGTGTGTGAGTGTGTGTGTGTGTGTGTGTGTGTGTGTGTACACAGAATGACACAATGGCGTATGCAGGCAGTTATGCTATCACGTTCCACTTATCAATCCAATCGTTCTTATTGGATTATAGCGCTAAAATATTATAATCAGGTTGAAAAAACCCAAATTGTATCATATTTCTTTCTTTATAATTCTAATAATGTGACTACTACCACTACCACTACAGCAACAACTACCACTACAACTACCGCTACCACACAGTTACAACTACACTAACACTACAACTACCACTACTAGTAGTAGTAGTAGTTATTGTTGTCGCAGTTCTTGTAGTAGTAGTAGTAGTAGTAGAAGTAGTAGTAGTAGTAGTTGTTGTTGTTGTTGATCGGAATGATTCATCAGCTACGCATGGGATGTTTGTCTGAAGTCTGTAGAGTGATGCTTTGTCAAGTTCATACAAATGTTTGTTTGTTTGTTTGTTTGTTGATTTGTTTGTTTGTTTGTTGAATTATTTGTTTGTTGGTTTGTTTGTTGATGTTTTAGTTTGTTTTCATTGTTTTTCAATCGGTTTGATATTTTTTTAAAACTTTTATTTCTTTGTTTGACCGCAGACATGTTCCCTGTTATCGCCACCCGATGTTTCCACTTTGATTTGCGACGCAGGCAGTTAGCGTAAAATTGTTTGAAATAAAATTGTGATTAACTTTCTATGCTTTTATTTTCTTTGCTTCAGTTTTCCATTGTTTTGTGTTCTTATTTTTGAAGAGATTGCTAGCGATCCATTGGTATTCATTAATTTATTTCTCTTCTCCATTTTTAAAAATGCAAAGCTCTTCTTCCTAATTTATCGCTCAGTGATTCTTCTTTTTTGTTTTTTCATTTTCTTTACTTTAATATTTTTGCACGTATTTGTATTCATTTGTATGTATGTGAGTATCTGCTTGTATATGTTTGTATCTGTTTGTATCAGGTTGTATATGTTTGTATCAGTTGGTGGGTATGCATAGTAAATACTTGCATCCTGACAGAGATTGGGAGATACACAAATCTATTTGCAGCATGGGCCAATGATTAGTTTATCCGCCCAAATAAATTTTCTTCTCTTTGTTTTTATTTATTTCTTTTTGTTTATTAGTCTGTCTTTGTTCGTTTGTCTGTTTGTTTGTTATGCTACACAGTTTATAAGCAAACAAACATGGATTACATTTTATAACAACAAGCAAACACACGAACATACGAACATACAAACGAACGAACAAACAAACAAATACAAAAAGGCAGATATAAATAGATAGGATTACCAGCAAAACATCGTGCAAGCAGAGCCATCAGCAGACAATTGTATTTGTGTGCGCGTTGGTTCGTAATGTAACCTGGAATAATTCAATTTGTTCGCTTTGTTGTTGTTGGTATTGTTGTAGTTGTTGTGGTTGTTGGTGTGGTTGTTGGTGGGGTTGTTGTTGCAGTTGATGATGATGACGATGACCGAGTTTTTGATGAGTTAAGTTGAATTCTTAAAGTTGAAGCAATCCCTTTAAAAGCTTTTTTTCTAAAGAGTCCTTGCATTTAAAAGTTGTGTGACATTCATCATCATCATCAACATCATCATCATCTTCGTCGTCTTCTTCATCATCATTTTTGCATAATATAGTTAGGCTTGTGTTACTCTTTGCAATGAAAAATTGTAATGAGCGCGCTGAGGTTGGTGATGATGATGATGTTGGTCAAAGATGATGATGATAATGATGATGACGATGTTGGTGATGATGTTCGCCATTTTGAAAACTTAAATTTTACATTTCTTGAATTCTCTATTGCATCTAGTTCGTAAATGAAACTGTATTTTTCTTAACAAACAATATCGTTATTTCTCTAGCTCCGTTTCGTTATCATCATCATCAACATCCTCATAATCATCATCATCATCATCATCATCATCATCATCATCATCATCATCATCATCATCATCATCATCATCATCATCATCATCATCATCATCATCATCATCATCATCATCATCATCATCATCATCATCATCATCATCATCATCATCATCATCATCATCACCATGGTCATTCAAAATATTTCCACCATTATTAGTTTCGTTTTAATTACTGTCTTCTGATTCTTATTTATTTATAATCTTTCTCGTTAAGACGACGACGATGATGATGATGATGATGATGATGGTGATGATGATGTTCTTCTTCCGGATTTTGATTTTAACGTCATTAATAATAATGACGTCATCACAACAACAGCAATAATAATAATAATAATAATTAATAATAATAATAATAATAATTAATAATAATAATAATAAATGATCATAACAATTGCAAATAATAATAATGATGAGGAGAAAAAATCATTAGTAATAATTCTTTGCATCCCCTCTCACGTTCGCCCTTTCATGATTAGTTTCTGGAAAAATAATTAGTTTCATATAATTTTAATGAACTGAAACACACACACACACACACACACACACATACGCAGACAGACAGACAAACAGACAGACATCCAAGCACACACGTACACACAGACAAACAGACAGACAAACAAACACACACACAGACAAACAAACACACACACACACACAGACACACACACTATCATGGAGGAACGATGGAAGGCAGTGGCGAGCGAACTGCTGATGATAATTATTTGTGTTGTACATTTGCAAACATTCCATTCTAAGTTGACACCATCATATCATTTCATGGATGGATGGATGGATGGATGGATAGATGAATGAATGAATGAATGAATGAATAAATTGACGATAAAACTTCATTTACGATTAACGGATAAAAATGAATGAGTGAATGAAAGAAACGAAGGAATGAGGGTGAACAAAGCCTGAAGATTCGAATGTTTGTTGGAGTATTTAACGTAAGAATGATAAAAAAATTAATTGTTTTGTTCAAATGTGTTTCTATGTTTTGGTTGCTATGTTGTTGTTGTATCTATGTTGTCATTGTTGTTGTTTCTTTATTATTGTTGTTGTTTCTATGTTGTTGTTGTTATTTTTGTTTATTTATTGTTGTGGTTTCATGTTGTTTTTGTATTTTATTTTTTTTTTGTTATTTTTACGTTGTTTTGTATCTTTGTTTTTGTTGCTTTATGTTTTACTTCAATGTTGCGTTTTTGCTCTTTCTATGTTAATGTTTCTATGTTGTTTCTATGTTGTTGTTTCTATGTTGTAGTTTCTATGTTGTTGTTTCTATGTTGTTGTTTCTTTGTTGTTGTTTCTATGTTGTTGTTTCTATGTTTTAATTTTTATGTTTTTGTTTCTCTGTTGTTGTTTCTATGTTGTTGTTGTTTCTATGTTGTTGTTTCTATGTTTTTGTTTCTCTGTTGTTGTTTCTATGTTGTTGTTTCTATGTTGTAATTTCTATGTTGTTGTTTCTATGTTGTTGTTTCTTCTTTGTTGTGTTATTTGTTTCGACGTTGTTTTTCCGTACAAACAATCCATTGCTCTTTCGTAATTGGAAAAAATAGAAATATACTTCGATTTTTGTGAAGATCTGTGTACGTGTGTGCGTGCGTGTGTGTGTGTGTGTGTGCGGGTTTGTCTGTGTGTGCGTGTAGGTGTATTTGTGCGTGTGTGGCAAATTATCTATTTAATTCGTTCTTATATTATAATTTTGTTTTTGTTGTTGTTGATGATGATGATGTTGTTGTTGTTGTTGCTGTGTGGCAATTTTTTTTACTTGCATTCAACTCTCCGAAGGGCGAAATCAAACATTGACAATAATGTTACTCTTCTTCTTGCTTCGTTGGTGGAGATGATGATGATGATGTTGACGATGACGATGATGATGATGATGATGATGATGATGATGATGATGATGATGATGATGACGACGATGTAAAATTGTCTCCAAACGTTCATGCCAAACTGAACTGAATTGTCTGGAGGAGTTCCATGCAAGTTTAAAATTAGCACATGTCTTCTTGACAACTGATTGGATGTTTTCATCATAATAATTAAATATAAATTATTTAATAATATTAATTATTATAATTATATTAATAATAATAATTATTATTGTTGTTTTTATTATTGAAGAGTTCAGCAGTGTCACCAGTGTTTGAGTTTCAACGAACCTCACCCAAACATTCTACAGTACAGAGAAAGTTAGTGGATCATCATCATCCACATCATCATCATCATCATCATCCACATCATCATCATCATCATCTCCATAATCATCATCATCACCGACGTAACGACACTTTGGAAATAAATGGATGAATTAGAACACCTGCATATGCGATGGATTGATAATGATGATGATGTTGTTGTTGTTTTTGTTGATGTTTTTGTTGATGTTTTTGTTGATGTTGTTGATGTTGTTGATGTTGATGTTGTTGATGTTGTTGATGATGTTGTTGTTAAATTATATAATACGAAAATTATGAAATCAGCATCACAATGTCACTAAAACAATGTACAAAAATACCATAACAATGTCACAACAATGCTGCAACAAGACCGCAACAATGTTGCAACAAAACCGCAACAATGCCGCAACAATGTTGCAACAATACCACAACAATACCGCAACAAGAATACCGTAAGAATACCGCCGAATGACTATTCCGCCAGAATTTTGCAAGAAAACTGAAATTTGATTTATTGACTTGTATTGAACAGTTGTGGTCTTTTGTATGAATGGACCTTTCATTCATTCATTCATTCATTTACTCATTCATTCATTCATTCATTCATTCATTCGTTCATTCGTTCATTCATTCATTTATTTTTTCATTCATTCATTTGACTTTCCCGCTCCTAATTAATTTGAATATTGAGAGGTTGGTCGCAGTGACGACGATGATGATGATGACGATGCTGATGATGATGATGATGCTGATGCTGATGATGATGATGATGATGATGATGATGCTGATGCTGATGATGATGATGATGATGATGATGATGATGATGCTGATGATGATGATGATGACAATGAGAGATAGCATTCAATTAATCATTTCGTTCTTATATACTTTTTATTTCCCCTTCTTGCTCTGGCTCATTCATTTATTCAACTTTATTCATTTATTCATTCGTTCATTCATTTATTCATTAATTCATTCATTCACTCATTCAGTCACTCATTCACTCATTCATTTTTTAAATTTTATTTGATGTTAGAATTAACTAAAGTGACGTGTTATAAGATGGACATCAACTTTATTTGCCCGGAAGGTCGAGAGGTCAGAGGCCAAACAAATGAAACCAATATCAATTGCTTCTTTTTCATCGTCGTCTTCCTCTTCATGTTTCTGTACATACTTCTTGATTGCTAGAAGGACAAATAGACAGACTGATGAGAGAACGAATGAATGAATGAGTGAATGAATGAGTGAATGAATAAATAAATGAATGAATGAATGGATGGATGGATGGATGGATGGATGGATGGATGGATGGATGGATGCATGAACAACAAGATGCTTGCATTTTTTCTATCTGATAAAATTGTTGTTGAGGTTTTTATTAATTGTCGACAATGTGGTTTGTTGTTGTCAATGTTTTGTTGTTGTTGTCGTTGTTGATGTTGATGTTGTTGTTGATGTCGTTGTGAATGTCGTTCTGTTGTTTCGAACGTGAATGCAGCCTTATGACGTCACGTCCGACATGTTTTTATAAAATTTTCTCGTTTTAACTTTAGTTCATTTTAAAAATTTTAAATAATTTCTTTACTTTTTAATTTTTTTTATCATGATTTACGTATTAAATATATTTTGTTTGTACACTTCCGGATGTACACTTCCGGTTGTACACTTCCAGTTGTACATGTAAATTATATTTTCTTTTGTTTCGCCTGCTCCCATGTGCATAGGGCGGAATCTTTCCTACTTCGTTTTTCTGCATGAGTGGCCACCGCAATGCACAGATACCGGCAGAAGATACACACACACGCATACATACACGCACATGCATACGCACATACACACATACCTACACACACACATACCTACACACACACACACATACGCGGACCATCTCATTGATTTATAACGCAATCCAAGCGTTGAAATGCTGCCATTAGGAAGGTGCTCACATGCTATTTTGTGCTACTCTTCCATTGAGTATTTGTACCGATGTCTTTGTATTTGTGTTTGTTTGTACGTACGGATGTGTGCGTGCGTGTGTGCGTATGTGTGTGCGTATGTGCGTGTGTACGTGCGTGTATGTGTGTTTGTTTAAAAGTTCTGGAGTTGAACATGGAAGGGATTGACGAAAGTGACAGAAAGTTGCTTTTGCCCAAAGCCTCCCAACTTAAGTCCATGATTAGTCGGTATGTGTAAGTATGTGTGTGTGCGTGTGTGTGTTTATTTTTGTATTTGTTTCTGTATTTAAACAAACATGTTTATTTACTAAAATTTGGCTTCTGACTTCCGTATATACAGTTATTAAGAAAACATTGCGATGTGATTGATGTGATATTTCTCAATAACTGTATATGTTTATTAACGTATATATATTATTTATTCAAAGTTCCAATTCTATTTATTTAATTGTTAGTAGTTTTGTTTGTTGTGTTTGTTTGTATGTTTTAGTATATATATTTGTTTGTTTGTATGTTTGAGTATATATATTTGTTTGTTTGTATGTATGTATGTATGTTTGTATGTGTTTGAATGTTCTTGTATATATGTTTCCACAATTATAATTTGTTGGAGGTGGAGTTAAAATGATGTTCGCATGTTTTTTAAGATTAGGCTTAATTTATTTCTTGCGTGTGTGTGTGTGTGTGTGTGTGTGCATGTGTATGCGTGCATGTGTGTGTGTGTGTGTGTGTGTCTCCTACTCCATCCACTTACATAGCTTCTATGCTATGAAAAGGTTCCATGGCTTATGGTCGATTGACAAATAGCGAAGATAACAAATAGAACAAGATAACAATAATTAATTATGTAGCGTAATCCAACATTCCGCGGTTATAACGATATTTGATTTATTTACCTATTTAGCTGTCAGCTCTATTTTTATTTTCTGTTCTTTTTAGGCTGCCTCACGCGGGGCGAAAGAATAACTTTCACACTGAAAAATATTAAAAAAAAACAAACAATTAAATAAATAAGGCCAGTTTTTCTGAGCTGGTTATAAAACCGCAGAGGGAGAAGCGGGGCGATAGTTAGTTTTCAAGTTTGCTGATGTGACTTTTCATCTGTTTGTCCTCCCTTCTGTGGGGTGCTGCTTGCGTGTCTTCGAGGCACGTCTGCCTGTCAGCTTTCCTCCTCTGATAATGGTGGTGATGATGAT